TGGAGAACCTGGTGCTGTAGTGTTGTCTTCAGCATCAAAACGTGACCCCACCTCCATGGCCCCAGGATCCGAGCAGCTTTGCTTACACCACTGACAGAGTCAAGAATGGGCAATAGTCACCTTTGAAGACCTTTAACTGGCATAGCAAAACCCACCAATCTGTGTCCCAGTTGGGGAATGGAAACTAAGACACCTCTGTATGTGCTCTGGTAGGACTTTTTGTGAACTGTGAATCAGAAAGCTTGTAGATAGATCTCAGGAAGAAATAAAATGGTATCTAAGGCTACCCTGAGGAGCAGGAAAAGCTCCTGCCCTGGCCAGCCAGTACCTGCTTTGGCCCAGGGCTTGTTGGCTTGGTGAGGCAAGGATCGAATATCAAAGGGAGATTCTTCCCCAGCTTCACTTTTCATGGATTTCAGGTGGCGTCAGGGTCACTCCACCCTTGTCTTCATCCTCCTTGCAAAGTGCTTGTGCAGATCCGTGTTTGGACTAGGAGCTAAGGTTCTGCTGTGCAGGAATTTCCTTGGGTTTTCATCATTTCACCTGGATCTTGCTTCATAATTTAGGGCAGCTCTTCCCCTCCATGGCTTGCTGGCAACTCACATGGCTATGTAATGATTTCAGCCACTTGAGTCAGCAGATCTTGAGTCAGCCACGTTTGGCTGGGATCCCTGAACTCTCCCATACTTTTTATGAGGAGCTGCCATTTCGATCAGGTTCCCTCCAGACTCTGTCGGCAGTGTGGATGAAGATCAGCTCATTAAAAAGTATCTGCAATATCTTTGCTTTTGGAAGAGCTGAATTAGTGTTTATGCTGCCATTGAATATGTAAAGAAATTTTAATTTACTGTTTTTTTTGAACAAAGCAGGGATTCAGAAATAGAGTTTTTCTATGAGCTATCTTGCCAGCTGTTTTGGCTTCATTGCTTGCCTGAGTGGATGCAAGATGGCTTTAGTCTTTTAATTTGGTCCTACCTTTAGGAGTATATTAAGCTAGCAGCCATGAGTTTGTAAGGCTTGAAGCATAAAATGCTTGTATTTGCTCCAGTGTGAAAACTGGCAATAGAGCAAGTTATAATTAGTTCCCTTTGCACTGCTTTTAGTGCTTGCATGAAGAAGGAAGGTCCCTTTGATGTCTCTAAATTTGTGCTCTGTGCAATCCTTTCATTTTCAAAGAGGTTCATGAAATTTAGCTATAAAATTCCGTGGTCTACATCTCATTCGAGGCCTTTGAAAGTTGAGGGTAAGAGGCAGATGATCTACAACGAAGAGATGAATATCACCTCGCATCTACTCAGGCTGGCTGTGCTGCCAAAGACATCATTTTTAATACTGCTTGCTTGATAGGCAGTGGAAAAAAAAATTTTCACAGACTCCAAGTGCCTAAGGGATTTTAATGTAAAAAAAATGCAGTTCTGACTGCTGGATGAAGATGCTTTGAATGCATTCTCAAAGACTGGCACAGGCTCTTTACTCCTTGTGAAATCCTAGATGGTTTGCTACCTTATTTTCCCTTGAAGCTGCGTGCTCCTCTGTAGAGGTTGCTGTTTCTCCAGTTGGACATGAGAGAGGCTCCAGTGGCCGTGGTATGAGGTCTTGATTAGCAATGCCCAGAGCCAGGGGAAAGGAAAAGGAAAACGTGTCTGGGATCGTCTGCTCTGTCCCTTGGCCAGAAGGTGAAGAGCCCTCCACTGCTACCTGTGCACCTTTGGTTTGCTCAGCTCTTCAAGTGTAGTCAGGACGCTTCTGCTCCTCCCCAGTGAGACCATTTCACAGCTTTTACAACTCTTGCTGCTAAATACATTTCCTGATTTTTGGAAATGATGTGAATGAGATGAGAATGTGTCTTATCATGTCATTAGGATTCTTAATGGAAGCTGCAAGTCAGGGTTTGTATTACTAAATATATACAGGGCTGCCAAACCAAAGCATTCAGAAATGATGAGTCAGGTTGTCTGAAATCATGGCTCGCTCAGAAATCAAGAGCTTTCCAAAATAATAAATGTCAAAATCGTGGGGGTTTGTTTGTTTGTTTTTTGTTAACATCTGGATTATGAATATTTTGGATTCTGACTTGTGCCTCTCCACATCAATAGTAGCTGGAATGCTGTGTAATTATAATTTTTTTTAGATGAAAGCTGGGGTCCATGAATTGATGTGAAGCCAGACATTGGAGCTTGAAAGAGAAGGCCATGCACCAAGAGATGAGTGGTAAAACTGTGAGAACAGAAGGCATGGATTTTATGTTTTTTTCCATCTCTTCCTATTCTTTATATATAGTCACCACAGTGTGGCCCATTGCCTCCCTGTCTCAAACCCATGTAGCAGGGCATGCAGCCTACAGGAGAGAACAAAGAGAAGAGGAAGGCTGGGGAAGGCTCTGATATAGCCAGTGTCCTGGTGTTGGCCATGTGTGACTGGAAGTCACGAGAGGTCAGGCTATCTCCCCTCTCACATCTTATATTAGAAGCTAGAAAAGAGAGGGGACAAGAGGTGTCCTCTAAGAAATGAGGTCACAACTCTGGGCTGTGATCAAGCAGGCAGAGTATATTTTAGAAATGCCCAAGGACACTTGTAGTCAACTAGTGAAGGCACGTGAGAAAGTCGCCCTTTCATCTCTGCCTCCACCCACAGTGGGGAGGGCAGATGCCTTTGCCTTGATGAGGGTGGTTTGATGGAGGAGACTTGAGGACCACAGGTCTTGGGGATGGTGAGAGATAGAAGGCGTTGTGTCAAAAGGCTGCCAGGCAGATTTCCCAAGGAACATCTCCAAACCCTTTCAACCCAAGAAAGAAGCTTCAAATGAGCTTGGGTCCAAGACAGGCTTCATTGGATGGGCTCCCACTGGTAACATGTCAGTGTGAAGGTTTTAACCCTGGAAGGTTTAACTTGCACATGGTGTCAGCTCTCCTGCTCCAGCTCTGAGCTCCCACGGCTGTTGTTGGCAACAAGTCTTATAAAAGTGAAGATGAGAGATTTTAGCAGTGAGTTCAGGATTGCTCAAAACTAGTGACTCAGTTCCTCCAGTGCTTCCTTCCCACCTCCTTCAAATGAGGGGTTTATTCATCACCCAGGTTCTCATTTCCATATGTTTAATATGGACTGGGGTCAGAGCCTCAGTTTATCTACAACAAGAACTAAAACAGCTTCTTCTTAAGTGAAACCTGTTTCATCTTCCTCTCACTTGATTCTAGGAAAAAGATCTCAGATCTTCGAACCACGGCAACAACAGCAACACCATGACCGTAGTCACCTCATGTGCCAAGATAGAACATTAGAAGAGTTGTCAATAAAGCCATTTTTGGAGACTAGCCAAGGTGAGCTGTGGTTGGACTGGGAGGGAGAGGCAGTTTTATCTTTATCTTATCTGCC